GATCTTATATGGTAAAATAAGCTGTGTTTTCTGGATACTTGTATTCTAGTTCCAACGTCTCTTCTAATCAGCTATGAAACCTTAAATTATTTCCAAGTGTTGTATTAGCAATAATTTCCTCATCTATAAAAGAAGAATACTATATCACCTCTAAGATCCTTTTGAAGACTAAAAGTTTGGTACTATAATTTGTGCTATGTGCTTCTTTGGAGTTATCAAAGAAAGGTTTAACTATACCAGACCATTATTATTAAAAATGCATTGAAACCAAATATAACAAGATTTTAGAGGGAGATAAAAGTGGTTTTTCCACAATATCCATAACAAATAATGTTCAATGATGTGATCAGATTAGTCCTTTCTTTGTCTTTTCAAGTTGCTAGATTAAAATATAAGGAAACAATGTATTTCATTTCCAATATAGTGCCAGTATAAATGGTTTTCCTGTTTAGATGACATTGTTCAAAACTGGTATCAAGATAGGTGTATAATGGGATATTTAGCTATAATGCCATCAGCTAACCAACCTTTTTTTCAATCACTTAAGGTATAGTAAGAGAACACTGAAGATGTAAAACACACTCTGTTATTATTTTTATTATTATTATTCTGTGAACTTTCTTTATTAAAACAGTAACTCTTTTATCAAATAATAATTTGATTCTCTTGTTTCACCCAGAACTTTGTGTGTGAAATACACACACATTACTACACACACACATATATACTGTATATATGTTTATATATATGGGCTTCTATGTGTCTGTAAACAATTGGGGGGAATATATGTCCTTATATATATATAAGGACAGAGTATAGCATATATTTTAAACACTTGGCATATTGCCTAACCCATAGTAGGCACTCAGCAAGTGGCATTGGTATTGTAATTAGGCATAGATGCTTTAAAGTAGTATCAATGTAGGCAGAACACTTGGCAGTTTTTTAAATAAAACGTATAACTATATAAAGCACCTAAACAGAAACTTACCATAGGACCCAGTAATTCTACTCTTAGGTAAATACCCAAGATAAATGAAGGTGTATTTAAACAAAGTGACCTATATGTAGATATTTATAGGAACTTTATTAGTAATTGTCAAAGACTGTAAATAAGCCAGATGTCTGCAATAAATATACAGATTGTGCCACATCCATACTATCGAATACTACTCATTGATATAAAGGAATTAACTACTGATATGTGTAGTAATATGGATGAATCTCAAAAGCATTACGTTTAAGTGAAAGGAACCAGACTCAAAAGACTATATATTGTATGATTCCTTTTATTTAACATTTGAGAAAGAAAAACAATAGGGATAAAAATCACATTGGTGATTGCCAGGAGCTGGAGTAAAAGGTGGTCATTGACTGCAGTGTTACATGTGGGAACATTTTGCGATAACAGGAATACTCTATATCTTGATTGTGATGGTTTTTCCATGACTATATAGACTGTATACTGAAAATGAGTGAACTTTTACTTTGTGTAGATCATAACTCAGTAAGCCCGACTTTGAAAATCCATGTGTATACTTATATTGCATGTTTTACTTTGATAAAATGTTCCCTAACAATATTACTATAGGAAGAAAAAAGTGTTACACTTATGTAAAATGTTTACCTAAAATTATGATTATATATAGTAATTCTGACTCACTGTATACTTTGCTCCAAAAAATATATCTTAAGTAGTTTTATCAAAAATGTTAAGATATAATATAAATATATACATTCTAAACTGTATAGTATAAAGGGGAATATAGAAATATTAATCCAACATAAGTCTAAGGGGAAAAAAGAGAAACAAAGAAAAAGGATTCTAAACATAAAACATGAACTAATATGTAAAAATAAGTCCAAATATATGTATAATGCCTGCATACGTGTATAAGAGAAATATAAGAATGAATACATGTGTCTATATGACTCAGCATCAAAAGTAGAGTATGGACCAAAAAAGCTAATATCTGTAAAATATGTAGAGTATCACCTATATAAAGTTTAAAAACCTGTAACAATAAAGTATATTATCATTTATAATAGTATGCTAAAAGTATAAAATATTCTTAAATGGTGAACACCCAAGTGTTTTGTTTGGGGTCTAGAAAGGAAGAAAAGGAGGGTAACCACTGAGTGTGACATTTGGGATGGGATGGAGGATTTTTAAAAAAATAATCTGATACAAAATAGCAGTTTTTGAAGACAATTTTAAGCAATGTTTCTAAGCATATATAAAAAACTATCAATTTTGTAAATAGGTACATGTATTTGCATATATCCATACATGCTTATGTATGTATAGATAATCTGTGAAAGGATATACAACAAACTAAACTGATAATCTCAGGAAAGAGGATTTGTAGTACTGAGGGCTGGAGGTGGGAGATTCACTGTACATTGTATATTCTGCTACACTGAATTTTGTTAGTTTTTGTTTAATGTATGCATTTGTTTTTGTGAGTTAACACATGAATGAGTGCATACAGTTTTTATAAAAGTAGTTGCTGGAAATATGATGCAGGGAAAACTGTCTTGTTTGCTAATTTCCTTAATGTTTTTGGTATGAAATTTATCTTTGACTTGAAGTGTGGTGGAGAATGATAATAATGAATCTTGGTGGGGGGGGTAACCCCTTTGAGTCCTCTCCCACTGTGGGAGCTTCTCTATCTTCTCAATAAATCCTGCTTTCAAAAAAAAATCTTGGAAATACAATTTAAATTAATTAAGTGTTTTTACAATGCATGTAACTGATATCCAACTCAAACTAGCCTAAGTCTCCATTGGATGCCCCCCATCTCCTGCCGAGAAAAGGATTTATCTATGCTGAAAGTCCAAGAAGTGGATCTGGATCTGTTCTCTGGCATATATGGATCCAGGAGTAGAAATGGTGTCATCCCTATTAAGTTTACTTTCGGGGCTAGTGGGATATAGTACTCTGATTGAACAGTCTAGATTGTATACCTGAGGTGATGGGGGATGAAGTTCATACTTGCCACAAGGACTAAACAGGATCACTATAGCACAGGGTAAGGGTACTTTCCCTCAAAAGAAATGCTGGCCAGATAAGCATTTATCTGATAAAGTAAGAGGGTTGTACACTCAGAAATTTTATAATAGCTTTGGATATAGTCACCAGATTGGATATTGGGAATTAAGAAAATGAGTGAATTGTTATGAAGCAGTACCAAATCTTCATAAACAACTAAATATGGGGATAGAAAGTGAAATGTCTAATTACCTGAAGTATAGGAATTTAAGGAAAATTCTAACAACCCCAATTTTACTATGAAAATTTCTAGGCAAAAGCTATATTTTGTTACTTTCCTACATGAATGTTGTTTATTTCTTTGGTTTTTGTTTATTTGCAGAAGTGCCCAGTTTAAAAAAAAACAACTTCAAAACTATCATCTTATTTTAGTATTTGCACATATTTAGCACTAGCATATATTTATTTAGCAAATTATCTATTACCAGTTCAATTTGAAATTTCTTAAATATATGCAACAGGATGTCTGAAGTTATATAATTCGAATATGATACGTTCTTTTTTGTGATTCTTTTGACTTGCCATTGGTCATAGTGGATATCTGTGTCTTCCAGGTTCCCATTTGAATCACATTTTATGATATACTGAAAATTGAAAAAGCTTTCAACTATTGACATTAATAGCCAGCCACCTATTTTTTTTAGATACTTTTCCCGTATTTTCGAAAATGTTTCATCTATAATTACGGAATATGGCATGTTAAAATAAGCAGTCAAACATCTTAAATTACAAAGAAACTCTTTGGTAGAATTGCTAGTTCAGACAGAGAATAAATTAATATCTTAATGCCTAAACTTATATGCAAAAGTCTCAGCTGTTGCATGTCTTTATAATTCTCTATTATTAAAAGAGAAAAGTGGCATTGTATAATGTTCACTTTTATTACAATGATTTAATTTTTCTGTAATCAGGATTTCACTATTTTTCTTATAACTGCATTCTTATGCAAAAAAATAATTCCAGTGAAATCATGTGAATTCAACAAAATTCTGAACTTCTGCTTCCAAGCTTTCAATTACTTTTCAGTTATTGTCAGTGGTCTAATTTGTGAGGTTTGTGACAACATTTTTCTCTTTGCTATCTATCAAACATCATTTAAAACAAAGGGAAAGATAATCGTTTCATGCAAATTAAACTTGGAATAACCAACACTAAAGCCTGACTTGCCAGTACCATATCTTAAAAGTTATGTTGAAAACTTTTTGGATGTTGAGTAAAATTCAATAGGACTGATGGTGGGAGGGTGGCAAGGTATTTTTAAATTACCACTCTGGGCCCTGTTGAAAAACTAGCTCCCAATGTTTTAAAACTCAAAAATTACTGTAAAAGAGGAACGATAACATCCCTCTAAAAAAATATCTCTAACATTCGGGGTTGCTACCATTAGTCCTTTAGGATTTTTCCCTGCCTGCCGATAAAGAATTGAAAAAGTTAAATCATATCTGTAAGAATCAGGTTGTAGTCTTGTATTTTTTCTTCCACATTAACTATCAAAGATGGCTTGACAACATATTTAGAATTTTCTGAGTTTTGCTATTAATAAAGTTAAAAGAAAATCTAGTATGATCAGGCAGTGGAGCCACATTAAATCTGTATGTGAAACACCCATTGTGCTTATCTCTACTCTAGATATTGCTCTGTACCCATGCTCTACATTCTGAATTCTGTGTATAAAGTTAAACATTGCAGAAGGGCATATATCTGATGATACAGATAAATAAGGTTGAAGTTCAGTAATGAACAAAGTTGCTAAATTTAATATGTGCATGTATTTAGTATTTATATTATTAGTATATTTAGAGTATTTTGTGGAAAATTATTAAACATTACTAAAAATATTTATAGACTTCTTAACTACCAGAAACTTAAGACTCCTATTCACACTGTAGTACTATATTTTAACATATCACAAAACTAATATTGAATTTCTTAAAATATTAATTACTTGCAGGCAAAGTTGTTGTCTATGCAACAAGCCAGAGAAACTGCAGTTCAACAGTACAAAAAACTAGAAGAAGAAATCCAGACACTTCGAGTTTACTACAGGTAAAATTCTTTTTAGCCTGGGGTTAAGTAAATATTGTTGGTCAGGGAAATGTTTCTAACTGATTTTACAATAGTGAATGAGGAAGTACTTCAATGAAATTAAACATTATGCATTTAAAACATTTTTGTAATTTTAAAAGAATTCAGGTATGAAACTATTATTCTCCCTTTTTTCCTTCCTACATTTGGTAAAATTTAAACTTACACTCCCATCAGAATTATGAAATTTACATAACCCATCGCCAGTTGTCTAAATGGAGCATGGTTAGCTATTGAACTATTCTACCTCTAAAATCACGATTTATGGATATATATTTAAGTAGTGCATAAGTAGCAGCAATAACACCCTTACCTTCTCTATTATAATATGAGAAGTTTCCAGGAGTAGTTGTGAACTGAATTTAATAGGAAAGTGTTTTCTTTTTGTTTTTTTTTTTTGAGTTGGAGTCTCACTCTGTCGCCCAGACTGGAGTGCAGTGGCCGCTCCCGGCCACCGCAGCCTCAACCTGCTGGGCTCTGGCGATTCTTCCGCCTCAGCCTTCCGACTAGCCGGAATTACAGATGCACGCTACCATGCCCGGCTAATTTTTTGATTTTATTGTAGAGATGAGGTCTTGCCTACCCAGGTGGGTCTCGAACCCGCGGGCTCAGGCAATCCACTCACCTCAGCCTCCCAAAGGCGCGGGATTACAGGCTGAGCCACCGAGCCCGGCAGGAAAGTGTTTTCTAATGAAAGGAAGTAGAGTAGAAATGTCAGAGTGCATCTCCTGTTGTAAGGGTAAATACTGTTTTGCAGTACTTTTGTTTCAGTCTTGTCTGTGTGTGTGTGTGTGAGAGAGAGAGAGAGAGAGAAGATTGTGTATTAGGTTATATGTAAAACATGTTTTCACAGTTAATTGTCATTAAAAATATTGAAAAACACTAATACACCATGCCTTATATATTCTGTGATTACTAAGTTTAAATAAAACCTCATGTCTGAAATGTAAGAATTTACTAACTAGGCTGTAGGTTATTGAAATATCTATTTTTTGATCCTTTTTTCAGAATAGCTCTAAAATGCATAAAATGCAATTAAATAAAAATCAGTTTTATTTAAATATAATTTTGGAAGTTTTATGTCATAAAGGACTTTGGCAAAGTCTCAGGGTACAAAATAAATGTGCTTAAGACAGTAGCATTCATTTTATACACCATCAACAAACAGGCAGAGAACCAAATAAAAAGCACAGTGCCATTCATGATAGCCACAAAAACATTGAAATACCTCAGCATTCTTCTAACCAGAGAAGTGAAAGAACTTTACAATGAGAACTACAAAACACTGCTCAAAGAAGTTAAAGAAGACAAAAACAAATGGAAAAATATTTCAAGCTCATGGGTTGGAAGAATCAACATTGTTAAGATATCCATCCTACCAAAGGCAATCTACAGATTCAATGCAATACCAATTAAATTATCAACATCATTCTTCTTAGACCTGGGAATGACTATACAGAAATTCATATGGAAACATAAAAGACCACAAATAGCCAAAACAATTCTTAGCAAAAGAAATAAAGCAGGAGGTATCACACTTCCAAACTTCAAACTTTATTATAAGGCTGCAGTATTCACAACAGGCTGATACTAGTTCAGGAACAGGCATATAGACCAATAGAACTGGATAAACATTCCAGAAGCAAAACCTCAATTTCTCAACCAGCTCATCTTTGACAAAGACTCCATCAACAACCACTGGGGAGAGGAGAGCTTATTTAGTAAACGGCCCTGGGGAAACTGGCTGTTCACATGCAGAAGATTGGAAGAGGACCACTACCTATCACCATACACAAAAATCAACTCTGAGTGGATCAAAGACCTAAACGTAAAACCTCAAACTATAACAATCTTAGGAAATGCAGGAGACACCCTTATTGAAATTGGAATAGGCAACCAATCATTGATCAAAACCCCAAATGCCCATGCCATAAGAGAGAAAATAGACAAGTGAGACCTCATCAAACTAACGAGTTTCTGCAAAGCAAAAGAAACCATCAAGAGAGCTGGGAGACAACCCACAGAATGGGAAAAAATATTTGCCAACTTTATACCTGACAAAGACCTAACATCCAGGATCTACAATGAACTCAAATGTGCCAAAAGGAAAAGAACAAATAGCCCTATTTAAAAGAGGGTAAAAGCATAAAGAAGGACAAACATATGGACTTCTCAGTGACTTGGATGGATTTAGAGTCTATCATACTCAGTGACCTTCACAGAAACAAAGAACAGAGTACCACATGTTCTCACTCATAAGCAAACCCTGACCATTTACCATAATACTATAAGAAAGGGATTGGCAGTAGCCAGAAACTGCTGGGGGTGGGGGCCAGGGGGGAGAGTGACACATAACAATAAGGGTACCTGATCTCAAACCAGGCAAAGTGGGGACCAAAGGGAGGCCCAAACTTTACCTGTACGATGGCCATTTATATACCTAATTCTGAATTGTGCCCCACATCTTTAAAATAAGATTTAAAATTTTTTTTAATTTTTAAAAAATTTTTTAAAAATAAAAGTGGGCAAAAGATATGCATAGACACTTCTCAAAAGAAGACATATTAACAGCCAACAGATACATGAAAAAATGCTCAACCTCACTAATCATCAAAGAAATGCAAATTAAAACTACACTGACATACCACCTAATTCCAGTCAGGATGGACATGATCAGTAATGCAATAAACAACAGATGCTAGAGAGGATGCAGAGAAAAGGGAATGCTTCTACACTGTTGGTGGGAGTGTAAACTAGTACAACCTCTTTGGAAAACAGTGTGGCGATTCCTAAAAGATCTAAAAAAATCAGCCTTTTATACAGCCCAGCCATCCCCTTCTGGGAATATACCCAGAGGACATCAAATCACTCTATTAAAAAAGATTCCTGCACACACAAGTTTATTGCAGCACTATTCACAATAGCAAAACTATGGAACCAACTATGATGACCATCAAAAGTAGACTGGGTTTTTAAAAATGTGGTACATATACATGATGTAATACTACACAGTCGTAAAGAGAAAAAAAAATTATGAACTATGCAGCAATTTGGATGGATTTAGAGCCTGTTATACTCAGTAATCTATCATGGAAACAAAAAGCTGAGCACCACATTGTCACTCATAAGCAGATCTTGAACATTTATCATAATACTAAAAGAAAAAGTTTGGCAGTAGCAGAAAACTGCCGAGTATAAGGGGCACATAACATCATTAAGTGTACCTGGTCTCAAGCCAAGCAAAGTGGGGTCCAAAGGGAGGCCTAAACTTTGCCTATATGATGACCTCTTATCTACCTAATCCTGAATTGTACCCCACATCTTTAAAATAAATTAAAAATAAATTAGTGTCCATAGGTAGCCATACATGTAGACAAAACCCTGGTAGTGAATGAAGCTATCCTACCAACCCACTGTGGCGCTTTTGGGTTTTTTTGTTTTGTTTTGGTTTGGTTTTGGTGTTTTTGACTGTAAAGTGGAAAAGTGAATATTTCCTCTTTTACACCAACCATTTTCAACTAAAGCTGCCATTAGAATCACCTGAGGAGACTCTAAAAATCCTGATACCAGCTCACCACAGGTTGATCACATCAGATTTTCTAGGAGTAGGGCTCAGGTATCAGTGTATTTGAAAGCACTCTAGAAATTCCCAAGTTCATCTAATTTTGAGAGCTGATGTTTTACATGCAAATTTCAGTTAATTGCATAAAATTGGAGTCTCTTGGTAAAATAATAACAAGAGGCATATATTAAACCCTTTATTAAGACTTCTGAATATCTTGTGATTTGTGCCCTGACCGTGGATGTTGCAATGTTATAAGTGGTAGATTCATCCCATTGACAGAGAAGTTTTTATGGAACTTTCTCCTGTTACCCTTGTGAGATAGGACAGCAGGTGTTCTGTTGATGATGTGACATTGTCCAAGAATTCGAAGAAGTGTATAATAATTTTGCATGAACTGATATTACTTCCTAAGAACAAAACCTTGATATCAATTCTTGAAGTGCCTTTGCTGAATTGTGGAAGATTATTGAATTATTTTTGAAAATTATAGAGCTAAAATATTCATTTTTCAAATACCTTTTTAATGTACATAAATCTAATAGAGATATATGATCTCTTCTAAATAGAGACTAAGCAATTATTGGCTCAAAAATATGCTTAATAAGTACCCTTCTTTCTGTTACTTAAAAACAATATTGGTGGTGGTGTAATAAAGCCACTGGAATTTGCAGTTAGACAGCCAGTGCCCTGTGCGACCTTACATAAATAAATGAACCTCTCTAAGCCCATTTTTTAAAAAATGAGAGTAATAGTATGTTCTTATAGAATTATTTTAGGAAATTGGAACTGGCAACCAATTCCTATTGAGAACCCCAAAGGCCAAATTCCTATTGAGAACCCCAAAGAGCTTAAGAAATAAGATAGACAAGTGGGACCTCATCAAATTAACAAGCTTCTGCAAAGTAAAAGAAACCATCAAGAGAGCAGGGAGACAGCCCACAGAATGGGAAAAAAATATCTGTCAACTGTATATCTGACAAAGGCCTAACATCTAGGATCTACAAGGAACTCAAATGCACCGAAGGGGAAAAAAACAAACAGCCCCTTTAAAAAGTGGGAAAAAGACATGAATAGACACTTCTCAAAAGATGACATATGGGCAGCCAACAGGCACATGAAAAAGTATTCAGCCTCAGTCACCAGAGAAATGCAAATCAAAACCACATTGAAATACCACCTAACCCCTGTAAGTATGGCCATCATTAATAAAACAAACAGCAGATGCTGGTGAGGATGTGGAGAAAAAGGAATGCTTCTACATTGCTGGTGGGAATGCAAACTTGTACAACCTCTCTGGAAAACAATCTGGAGATTTCTGAAAGAACTAGAAATTAACCTTCCATATGACCAAGCAATTCCCCTAATGGGAATATACCCAGAGGAACTCAAATTATTC